CAGCAACGTGCGGGCGGAGAGGTGAGCAGCAGAGGAGGGGAGGTGAGGGTTAGGCCGCTAGGCTTATCCCGGAAGTGGTAGGCGTAAGAAGGGAGGAAGGGCGGCGAGAGAGTGAAACACAACACTTTTCCTCACATCCCGCCCGCGCTTCCTCCCGCGGCGGCGGCATATTTCCTTCGTGTGCCGCTGCAGAACATGGAGGGGAGAAGGGGGAGGGCGCGTATGAATCATGTGGGCCCGACAGCCACCCCGCCCCGCCCCGCCCCGCCCGCATAAGCCAGCCGCCGAGTGCGCGGACACGACCAGCCTGCTGATGGTCTGCGCCGCGGGGACCGAGACCGGGACAAGCGGGATGGACGGTGCAATGGATGAGAAACTTGGACCGACTTGGAATGGGCCCACCGCCGCCGGTCGGTCCGACGTCCGACTCCCGGCGCGCTCCGGGGTCCGGGCCCGCTTGGTCCGTGGTCCAGCGCGGTCCAATGCGGTCGGCGAGCTGACCCGCTTCCGGCCGGCGAGCTGCGTCCGAGGCGGCGCCACAACCCCCTTTTACTTAACCGCGCACCCGGACCCTCGCGCGGACGCAGCCGGTGCAACCAGGTTGTTACCGCGCAGGGAACGCGCGCGGGAAACTTTAAATGTTTCCGCCCGCAAACACACTGTGCTGGTGCTGCTAGACCGCTGGGTGTGTCCTGCCTGCCTGCCTGCCTGCCTTGCTGCACACCGTTTGGAAGCGACACAGAATATCGCCCCGTCCTCGCCGACCGCACGCTCTCTCTCTCTCTCTCTCTTGCTCCCTCTCCTCTCCATCAGTTGGAGTGAGATGGAATGCTCTGCACCCCCATCCCCTCACCCTCCACGCCGCACCGGCCACCACAAGCCCTCCCGCAGCACCGCAGCCCTTAATTGAAAAGGGGTGAATGTATGACGCTCCCTCCCCTCCTCCTGCTCCTTCGCCCCCTCCCATTCCCCCCTCAGCTCCCCCCTTCACCGCAAAAACATTGCCGCTGTACGCCGTGAGAAATGGAGAGCCGACCGGCCGTCTATCGCCCGTGCGTCTGGTGCAATGTGAGTGATGGAGGACCCGCCTTGTCGACAGGTGGTGGCCGTGGTGTCGGTGTTCTTCATCTGCGTGTCCGTGCTGTCCTTCGCGCTCAAGACGCACCCGGACATGAGGGTGCCCGCCCTGCGCAACATAACCGTCCAGGTAGGCGTCGTCGTGTTCTCGACACGTTGGTGACAGAACGGTGTGTAAGACACGCATCCTGATTCCGCAGATCACCAACCCCACCTCGAACCGCAGCACGGTGCAGTACGCGTGGACGCTGGACAAGGAGCGCACCGACCCGCACGAGGCGTTCTTCTACGTGGAGCTCGCCTGCAACGCCTGGTTCACTTTCGAGTTGGCCGTCCGGTCTGTGGTGAGTGCCGGAGTGCTCTGCGCTAAGAGATTGGACCGACCCCGAGCCCGGGAGGCCGAGTCAGCGGAGGGTATCGGTATCGCCTCAAAGTACCCAAGATACTCTGAGTACTTTGGGTACTCTGGGTGCTTCTCGTCGGCTGGTGCGGAACCGCTGCTGCCTCAGCCTCACCCCACCCGCCCCGTTCGTCCCTGCCCACAGGTTAGCCCCAACCTCGTGGAGTTCATCAAGAGCCCCGTGAACGTGATCGACTTCGTGGCCACGCTGAGCTTCTACACGGACGTGCTGCTGCGCTCGTCGGTGGCGCACCGCGTCGACAAGGCCGACATCCTCGAGTTCTTCTCCATCATCCGCATCCTGCGGCTGTTCAAGCTGACGCGCCACTCGCCGGGCCTCAAGATCCTGGTGCACACCTTCCAGGCCTCCGCCAAGGAGCTGACGCTGCTCGTGTTCTTTCTCGTGCTGGGTATCGTGGTGTTCGCGAGCCTGGTGTACTACGCGGAGAGGTTGCAGGTCAGTGTGTGTTCAGTTTAGTCACGTCACGTGACCCCAGCTCGCGCTGACGTCTCAGACGTGATTTACGTCGTGTCGTGTAAGTAGTGTATACATTGTATAAATTGTATCGACGTCAACTGGATGTTTAACATTTTCCAGGCGAACCCGCACAACGACTTCAAGAGCATCCCCGAGGGCCTGTGGTGGGCCATCGTCACCATGACCACGGTGGGCTACGGCGACATGGCCCCCAAGACGTACGTCGGCATGTTCGTGGGCGCGCTGTGCGCCCTGGCCGGGGTGCTGACCATCGCCCTGCCCGTCCCCGTCATCGTCTCCAACTTCTCCATGTTCTACTCTCATACTCAGGTACTTTTTAGCAGATGATACCTGAAATATTTTCACTAAATATAATGAATACATAAGTAACTTTCAGGTGTTAGCTAGCTTTAACTCTCGATAAGCAGAAAACAGAACTAAGAGCAAAACCAGAAATCATCTTTTTGAGCGCTGGTTTTTTCGAAGAGCGTTCGAAATACGTCATTTTTTAGACGTATGACGGACGCCCCTTTTTTTGCGCTGTCGATCATCTGCCAGATCGAGTTCCATCCCGGCAACGCGATACCGACAGATGTCGCTGTCCCTTATTGAGCCGGCCGGGGCCCCGGGACCTCAGATGTCCTGCGCCACCGCCTCAAAGCTCTCTCTCTCCCTCTCTCTCTCTCTCTCTCTCTCTCTCTCTCTCTCTCTCTCTCTCTCTCTCTCTCGCGGGTCGGAGGGCCGGGGCAGCAGGACGTGCCCGGCCGGCCGCCTCTTCAATCATGCTGTCAATCTCACAGTTCGGCGGCGCAGCGCGCGCAGCGAGTCCATTTCCCTGAAAATGGACCGGCGGCGGCGGCGAAAGGGGGATGGGGATGGGGGGTAGCAGACGCGCTCTCTGGGGCGCGGGGTATCGACGGTGCGGCGCGGCGTAGAGCGGCCTGCTCTGCCAGGATGCGGCGGCTTCCTTCCGCCGGAGGGCCTCTCACTCTCAGCAGGATGCTGTTGTAAACACGGTCTCTCTCTCTCTCCTTTGCAGGCGCGGTCCAAGCTGCCCAAGCGCAGGAGGCGGGTCCTCCCCGTCGAGCAGCCCAGGCGGCAGCCGCGGATCGAAGGCGGCCCCGGCGGGCCGGGCGGCGGCGGCGGAGGAGGCCTCAGCAACCGGCGCATGAACGCCATCAAGCACCACCCCGCCAACGCCATCTTCAAGGATGCCTTCGCGCCTGCCAAGATAGGTGGGTATTGAGACTCTGGCAGACACAAAATGCCCTCGGCTTGGGCCGATGGATCATGTGTGCGCAAGGCAGAGTGCGAGGCAGTGTGCACTTCTTCGGTCAAGGTATCATCCAGAAAGTACGTCCGTCTTTCGCCGTTACCATAACCTGCTAAGCAGTTCACCCTATGCAAGCTCTCAAAGCGCCTAATAGGTAGGCCACATCTTCCCTGCAGTCCACGCGTGAACTGCGGGTTGCCCTGCCCTGAGTACCGCAGGAGCCGATGTCCTCGTAATTTACCTAATGAAATGAAAGTGGACGTACTTTCTGGACCAATCAGAAACGTTATGTTCTACCTGTACCCCTAACCTAACCCCCCACCTTTCCCAGCAGCGCCGATGTGGGCGAGGTGCTCGTCGTACTCGCCTGGAAGGGCTGTTGTCACTGTTTCTGCGCTGATACGATGGTAGCCGCCTGGCCGGGTCGCGTTGACTCTGGATCCAGTACTCGGGCTTATAATCCCACTCTGCTCGGAGCCCTGGTCTCTGGTACGGTGGATGGGGGGGGGGGCTCGAGGCTCGAGCTTCGGAGTATCGGTCGGGACGGGGGGAAAGGGTAAGTGGATAAGAGTAAACTCAAAGAAACTGGACACGTTCCTGCCTGATACCCGGATCTGCGAATCTCATATCGCGAGCAACGTCTCGTCGGAGAGCGAAGCAGACAGCAATGGGAAAGTGGAGGGGGGTGCATGGGTCGGTCAGGAGTGGGTGAGGAGGGTGAGGCGCGGCGCGGGGCCGCGGGTGAGTGGGAGAGGCGAGATGAGAAAGCTTTGCTGCTGACCTCACCTGTTCTCTATCGTTTTCCCCATCCTGGCAGCTGTCACCTGCACGTGCTTTTCCGTTTATTTCGCGCCCCCCGGGCCCCCCGTGTGCCTGCCCGCGGCGTGGCGTGGCGCGGAGGGCTGCGGCGTGGCCGGGCGTGGGGTGAATCGCGAATGTCATGCAAATATCACATCGCTCCTTTCCTTCCCTTCCTCCGAGCCGAGCCGGGCGGCCCTTGCGCCTCCTTCCGCGCCGCCAGATGACGTCGGCCCTGGGGCTGAGCGTGACGCCGATGGCCATGCATTTCTCATCCCTGCGCTCATCTCCGTCTCTCTCCCTCTCTCTCCGTCTCTCTCCCTCTCTCCCTCCCTCCCTCCCTCTCTCCCTCTCCCTCGCTCTCCCTCCCTCTCTCCCTCTCTCTTCCGGACAGGCCCTCCTCCGGCCCCGTCAACATTTCTCACGGCCTCTCACGGTTCTCTCTTTTCCGCAGGCAACGTGAACGGCGTCAACATGATCGGGCTGGCGCTCCAGGGGCAGTCGCTGCCGGGGCTGCAGGTGGCGCGGCCCACCGGCTCCGTGGACATGACGGCCATGCCGCTGCAGCAGCTCGTCCCGCGGGAGCCCACCGGTACGTCGTCGTCTCGTCGGCAGGGCAAAAGCAATTACAGCCTGCGGACTCTGGTCGGGTCTGGTCTGCTCAGTAACGGCGGCGGCACCGGCAAATCACTCACTCCTGCGCCGGAACGCAGGGCCGGGCGGGGTTGGGCGCGGCACTCGGCTCGAACGAGGTGATTTCGGGCCGATTCAGAGAGGGGCTGTGGCGCGGTGAGACGCACAGTTCAGCCAACTTAAGACCAACGACGGCACGGGGGCGGGAGCCAGGGACGCTAACTAGTTACGCCCAACTCCTTATTGCTTTGCCAACACAGCCAAACTCGCACATTCCCTCTCGGCTTGTAACTCGCGGGCCCGGGGCATACGTGAGGGGGGCGACGAGGAGGGGAGGTGAGGGGTGAAAGGGCGCCGCGCAATGCCGCAACAAAACCAGTACTTATTCATGAACGCGCGTTGCTTTAATTACGGCCACCGATAGAGCGGTGTTTACTCCGGCACGCTGTGGGGCTCTCGATGCTTGCCAGAGCAAGTCTCTACCTCCCGTTTCTCCTCTCCTCTCTCTCTCTCTCTCGTTTTCTCGCTTTTCTCTTTGGCGCCAGCCCCTTTCACCGTCGTTCCAACCTCTCGTCCTTCTTATCTCTTCCCCTTCTTTCCCCTCTCCCAGCAGCGTCGCTGTGCGCCTGCATGGGCTCGCTCCCGGCCACCCGTTTTACTCCACGCGGGGGATGTGTCCGTGTGTCGTGTGGCTCTACCCTCAGTCCCCCCTAGCCCCCCGTCCCCCCGTGCCGTCGGAGGGAAATGGAAACGAAATGGTTGGAGCCCCCGACCATGCCTACGACGCCTAGTTGCTCAGGTGCTGACAGACCCGGTCGGGAAATGGAGTTCAGCCGCCGCCGCCGCTGCTCCAGACCCTCGCGTCCCTTCCCCTCTACACGCGTTCGAGTGAGGGGTGGGGAGTGGGTGTGAGGGGGAGGGGGGAGGATGAATTGAACGGGAACTCGGACAAATTAAGCTCGCCCCTTTCCTTTCTTTTTTTTGCCCCCCTCTCTTATCGTCTTGTCGGTGTTTGTCTGCGTTCCCGTTTTCCCCTTTGCTCCGCTCACGTTCTCTCGCCGTTCCCCCCTATCTCTTCCCGCCCCTCTGGCGTTAGTAGTCTTTCAGCGCGCGGTGGAGCACGCGGGCCGGGCGTCCACGATGACCTGCGCCCCGTCCCTTAATCCACGGCGTCCATCCCGTTGATAAACCGGAAGCCCTCCCGCCGCCCACCCGTCCTCCCCCAGCACGTCCTCCTGCTCCTCCCCTTCCTCCTCCCCTCCTCCCCTTCTTCCGTCGCTAATGACAGCCTCCAGGCAAAACAAGTGACGGGGGCAAGGGGGGGGCGGTCCAGAGCAATATAGCAGAGGGCGCGCTGCCACGCAGTCATTAACGCTGTGTCGCTGCAGCCCCGCCCCACCTCAC